TCCACAATTAGATAAAACAATTACAAACTAGAATTGACGACATGGAGCAGTATTCCAGGAGAAATTGTTTGAAATTTCGTGGTATTCCGGAGGAAGAAGGGGAGATCACTGATGATAAGATTCTGCAGATCTGTAATGATGTACTCGGGGTAATGGTTTCCAGTATGGACATCAGCCGTAGTCACCGAGATGGGCCTAGAAATAGGAAATTCCCATGCGATATTATCGTGAGATTTATATCTTATCGTACTAGGGCAGCTGTGTACCAAGCCAGATTCACTCTGTTCAGTAAGACTGGTGACACCAGTTCCGTATCCGAGGACCGCAGTAGTAATACTCCACCTCATCATCAGCCACCCTCCCCAAAACTCTCAAAAGACCTAAATAAAGTGTACATCAATGAAGCTCTAACTAAGGCTAGAGCAGCGGTATTCTCTAAAGCCTTATACTTGAAAAAAATGCAAATCATTTCTGGGACGTGGACCTCTGATGGAAGAATAGTTATCAGGGAACACAATGGGGAAAAAGTAAAAGTTACTAAACTTGATCAACTTTCAGGCTACCCAGATCCTCCCTCCCCCGCGAAAGATTAGAACACTTGCTGATCGTACAGAGAAACAATCTGTGTCTGGATGGCAGACTCCAACCCAAAACAAGTAGTTCTATGACATAAATACATTTAGTCAATTGCTGACCAAAAGTTATGTGACCATATTTTGTACGTGTACATTTTTAATTCATATTGTTTACATGTAAAATAATTTCTAAATTAATGATGAATACAATTGTATAATGTAAGTCTGTATGAAGAACATCATCATCTGATGAACTTGTGAACACAATAGTTGTAAATACCTAAAAGGCATACCATGTATTTGGATACAATGTACATGTAAGATTGTTTTCTATAATCTATGTAGCAAAATATGATAATAATTTGAATTATGATAACAATATCACATGTGAAATTGCTTTATTATATGTGTATAATGCAATTATAATAACTGGAACTTCATGTTGAATTTCACCCCCATATATATATATATTTCATATGTTGGATTATATGCAATAGAAAAATATATTTCATGTCATTATATAAAACAACATTAGGTTTGATATTTTCCTATATAAGTACAGCAGTATACATCTATGTATCAGCTACTACCTATATAGTCAGAGACTTGTTATATAGGTCTCTGCTATAGTGTACATGTATATGTACAATGTGCATGGTGCAATGTGCACTGTACGTGCGCATGTACTTTGTATATAGACCTTGTCATAAACTATATATACACAAGTTACTATTACATGTATTAATATTCTTTGTTTTTTAAAACTCATGTATCTAAAATCAAAACCGCCTGAATCATCAAAATATTGTAATTTTTTCATGGACAGTCTTCATCGGTAGTTTATTTATCATAAATGTACGATAATTTCACGTGCAATGTCTGTAATAGTAGTATAACGTACTCACGGTACTAAAACTTGATATGAACATGTTGTCATGACTCTTGTAATTATTATGAGTTGAAATGGTAAATAATATCCCAATATGTATAATGTACATGTGACACGTGTCAATATTTACAACATGACTTGCATACCATTATATAATTACTTTTCTTTTTACTGTACATAATGTAAATATATACACGGTAAATTGTATGTGACACGATGAAAATGTGGATATCACTAGTTTTATCTTAAACCTGTTATACTATGAGCATAAGTTTGATTTTCGTCTTATTTTACATGAAATTCTAGTTTTTTTTTATATAGGCCAACTTGTACTTTAAAACGTCGTTTTTGGATTATAAGCTAGATCTATTCCTTGACATTTTGTCGTTGTCACTTAAATGTTTACATCAAATAAGATTTCTGAATTGTGAATACAAGCATCTAGTTGACCATGATTAAAAAGTAAGGCGAATGAAAGCGTGCGGTGTACGAGTGACTGAAGTGGAATGTTCGCAAGATTTGTTGTTTTTTTCTGTTATACTCAATGTTTTCTATGTGTTGTATGTCCTATATGTACAAGAAAAACCGATATACCAGAATTCTTCAATGTCTTTTGATTTTAATCACTTGTGTCCAGTTTACTTTCGCTTTCGTCATGCTAGGAATACACATGTTTTTGCTCCCGGTTAATATCTTCTACACCGAGTGGACACAAGTGAAAATTACAAGACATCTTTTCTATTTTCAGTCGAAATTGTTGATATATGTTACAACTTGTCGTGATTTTTTCTATGATAATTCTTATAGCTGGCTACTTTTTATTTTACTGCTATTAAGTAATGATATAGAGTCTAATCCGGGACCTCTGTGTAACCTAGATATTACTCATCTGAATGTTAGATCCTTATGTAATAAAATTGATATAATTGATTCGGAATTATCACACAGCACTATCTTGTGTCTTACTGAAACACATCTCTCACCTAATATACCTGATGATGATATAGTTTTATCCTCATATTCTAAAGATTTTCATAGGCGTGACCGTAGGACTGGTCCTGGGGGAGGTGTCATTATCTATTGTAAGAATTCTGTTCTTTCCAAAAGACGTATAGACTTAGAAAATAATGATATAGAAATCATTTGGATAGAAATTAAAATTGACTGTCACACTTTCTTGCTTGGCTGCTTATACAGACCTGAATCAAATATTGCTTATTGGTCCAAACTTGACAATATGTTTGAAACTGTTATTGAAACTAACATGAACATAATAATTACTGGTGACATTAATGTAAATATGTTGAATATTGAACAAAATCCTCACCTTAATCATTTACTATTGAAACATAACCTTACTAATTTGGTAACTGAACCTACAAGAATAACACCAACTACTTCCACTTTACTGGATGTTGTTCTAACAAATAATACTAACATTATCCAAAACACTTCTGTTTATCCTCCAATTTGATGTTCTTTATTCAACATTTAAGTGTAAATCTTATATCAGTGAAATATATATTTTTCAAGAAGCTGATGTTGAGAGTATGAATACTGAATCGGCATCAATTGATTGGAATACAGTATCTAGTACTTTATCTGTGGAAGAGCTGAACCATTATCTTACTGATTGTATAAAGGATTTGATTTGTCGTTTTGTTCCGGTTAAAAAGATTACTATCCGTCCCAATGATAAACCCTGGATGAATAGAGAGATTAAATTGAAAATGAGACAGCGTAACCGTATTCATAAAAAAGCTCGATCTAGTTCATCTCAACATCACTGGGAAACTTATAGATTAAAAAGAAATGAAGTAATTGACTTAATTAGAAAAGCAAAGAAAACTTATTATGAAAATCTAGAGAAAAGTTTAAGCGATAAAACCCTTCCCCCAAGTAAGTGGTGGAAGATTTCCAATTCAGTATTCAAAACTAATAATAAATCAGTTTCTCTACCACCTTTAAATGATAATGGTTCATATATTAGTCATCCTTTTGCAAAAGCTGAATGTTTGAATACCTATTTTACTTCTATCTCTACCTCCTCTGTAGATCTTGAGCCTCTACCTCCAGTTTTATCTTACACTCATCTCGTCCTTGACAATATTGTTATTTCTGAACAAGATGTAAAAGATCAACTTTTTGCCCTTAGCGATAAGAAACCACCAGGTCCAGATAATCTTTCTCCTAAAATCATTAAAATGCTTGCTCCTTCTATTTATCTTCCTCTTACTATACTATGTAACAAAACTCTTGAGACTGGTACTGTCACGCCTTTTCAGTGTACATTTTGAAATTTCGTTAAATTTATTTAAACTTTACATTTGATAAAAGAATAAAGAAAATGGTAATCTAAACTTTATATTTATAATCTAACCTTTATAATTATGTAGTAGAAACAGTATTTAGCCAAGCCAAAATACTTGGAATTCTAAACATGTTGGGTTTCGTTATTAATCCTGTGTGGACAGATGTCTTCCATAATCCAGTTATTTACTTGTAAGTTTAGAGTCAATTAGTCACTTGTATTACAAGCTTTGATGCTAAGATGTTAGGTATACACACAATTAACATGTCTAAGTAAAAACCTGTTTCTAAACAGGATTGGTAAAAAGTGTAACTCCTAATTAGTGTCAACCATTGTGTGTCAATGGACGTAAACAAACAGATGGTTTTTCGGCTTATGTATGATTTACGCAAAAGCAAATTGTAACAGGTATAGGACGCGTGACATGCGCAGTAGTTTTCGAAGTAAATCTCTTGTAAAACATCCTTTTGATTGGCTAGGTAATTAGGGACTAGTGATTTGATTGGTTAATTGACCACTCACCGTTTTGAGGTATATCTGGGGTTCCAACCTTGATTGTCGCACTTTTTATTCGACATTCAACAATAAACATCGGAAACTCAAAGAAGCCTCAATTCTCTATTACACAGGTGAGTCAAGTCTACTTAAATTTTCTTATGTTTTCTTAATAGCAAATATGTAAATAGATATTTGATTTTTTTTAGCCATGCTTAGATTTAAATAATGTTATTGCTATTTTTGTATTATTCAAGAAAACCATTTAAATTTATAATGGATTGGTGTAGGTACATGTACTTTGTCAGAATAGAAATTATTTTTATTCCAGTTGGCAAAGTATTATTTTGCTTTCTTCATAGTTTAATGTAAATAGCTTTCATATGTAAATAATTACTGATTTTTAATAGATGATAAAAGAACATTTTATTTTTGTATAAATTTGATGATAAATTGAGTCAATCCGGATATTTTGGTCATTCCGGAATTGATTCTAATTTTATAGCTTCATGTTTAACTTCCGGATAGGTGCTCGCGGTTTTATCGAAATAACATAATCGTTAATTTTGGATAGGATTAGAGATTTGGAGCACGGAAGCAGTTCTTATAAGGGAGTATACGATTCATAATGTTTTGTGGATGATTGTTATATGTATTTTAATAGTAGGTACCCGGTAACTGGCCTCCGGCCGGTGATCGGAATGTCTAGTCAAAATATGTAACTTGTAAGCGCTCGCGCAACATTTTGTCATTTAAATCCATAACTTATTTGGTAAACATCTAGGCGTTAAGCACATTGTATGTACATTCGATACATGTTTAGTTTAGGTATAATTCATTTGTATTGATGTAAAGGTCGCACTTTTTATTCGACATTCAACAATAAACATCGGAAACTCAAAGAAGCCTCAATTCTCTATTACACAGAGCTAATTCCTCAGAACAGGAGAAAAGTAACGCATTAATCCTGTAACAGTTGGTGGAGACCTAAAAGATCCCAGGTGTTGATAGATGTCAGCGCCAAGCAACGACATCAGAGCTAGTGCAGCAAACAGAATAACCAGCGACTACTGGCTGAGAGGTAGAGATCAGTTCCGGCCAAGTTCGACGGAACACACAACCGACGAAGATGCAATAAGTCATCATTCGGACGAGGAAACAGGTATGGCATCCATTACTCATGGTGTGTCGATAGGAAAATTTTCTGGCAATAAAGATGAATATCCCGTAGCATTCATAGCCAGGTTTAAAAACTATTTAGCTTTAGTACAAGCCAAAGATGAACAGAAAGCACCATTGTTTGCCCTCAGTTTGGCTAATGATTCATGCGCATATCAGTGGTATGATGGACTTACAGAGGCGACGAAAATAGACATCAACCTTCTAGAAGAAGTGTTTTTAGCTCGATTCTCAACTAAACAATCATCTAGGTGGTCCAGTGTAAGGGAAGTCAACCAAATGACACAAGGGTATATGCAACCAGTGCTAGAATATATTCAAAATGTGAGATACAAGGGCAAAATTGCCAAAATGTCTGATACTCAAATATTTGATGCAATTTTAGGGGGTTTAAGACCTGAAATCAGATCTGCAGTTATTCAGAGAGAGCCAGTTGATCTTAACACTCTGATTAACATTGCAGAATTAGCTGAAGTAGCTATTGTAGGTAGTAATACAAAGCAAGAGCCCGAATCAATTTCGAATCTAGTGCTGGATAGGATTGAGGCTTTAGCTTCAGACCTTAAGTCAATAAGGAGTGAGGTCAATGTTATAAGGTCGCATAGCAACAGTTACTCACAAACAAACATGCATCAAAACAGATCAAACAGACCAAACAGACAACAAACACATAGGTCACATAACACCTCAACTCAACAGTCACAGTCTTGTGGTAGGTGTGGATCTAGGCAGCATTCGCAAAACAAAGACTGCCCAGCATATCTCAATAAAGCTAAGTGTCATGCTTGTGGCAATGTAGGTCATTTTAAAAAATTGTGTAAAACACAAAAATCATCCCAATAGGAATTTTCGCCTAGCAGGGTTAAAGGGGTTCCCTTGCCGAGGCCAGAAACATTAAGTCCATGTTTTTCTACTGACTTAAAGGATAACTTTATAGATATAACTTTTTCAAAGTCAGATGTTTTTGCTAGTGCATTAGTTGACACAGGGGCTAGTATAAGCTGTATATCAAAATCCCTATTTCATAAAATAGATCCTAAGGGAAAAGTAGAACCTTCAGACATAAACCATGTATTTGGAGTAGGAGGAAATCTACATAACATAGATGGATGTGCTAAATTATCTTTTAAATTAGGAGAACAGGAGGTACAACAAACGTTTTACATTTTTCCAAGATTACACCAGCAGGTTATTTTAGGGATGGATTTCTTAGGGAAATATAAGGGAACTGTGAATGTAGGGGACAAAAAGATGTCAATATTTGTAGGGTCAGCTTTAGTAGAGTGTAGGACCCATTCTAAATTTAATGTTGGGGTAGCTAGAGTAAGTACTACCTTTACTGTCCCGCCACAGGAACAAGTTCTCATCCCTGTTAAGTTATCTAGAATCCCAGAGTGCTCAGTAGCTATCATGGAACCAACAGTAGACCTGTTAAAAACTACTAAGTTAGTTGGAGGTAAAATTATTGTAACCTGTCACAAAGGTAAGTCTGTGTGTATGCTTCTTAATCCTAATAACATACCTGTATGCTTGAAAGCTGGTACCATAGTAGGTAAGTTATTACCCATTGATGCCAAGTCAATTGCAGAGCTACAGGAAACAAAAGAGGCTGAACAAGACACAGGTAGGAGTAAAGCTTTTGCATCTAGCTTAAGTCCTGAGAACAAAGAAAAGTTGTTGACTACAGCTAAATCATTAGGCATTCCCTTAGATGATGCAGACCTTACAGAGGATCAAAAGACACAGTTATTACACTTCATAGGGAGAAATAGGGATGTATTTGCTGTAAGTATGGAGGAGCTAGGATGTACAGATGTACACTACCATAGGATTGAAACAGGTGACGCACCTCCTCATAGACAAAGGTTCTATAGGCACTATCCAGCAGTAAAAGCTGAAGTTGAACGACAGGTAAATGAAATGCTAGATAATGACATAGTAGAGCCATCGGTTTCAGTATGGAATGCACCAGTGGTAATGGTACAAGAGAACAGGTGAGTATAGATTTGCAGTAGATTATAGAGGTCTGAACTCTCAAACTCGTCCTGTCAGCTTTCCCCTGCCACGTCTAGAAGATGTGTTTGACAGTGTAGGTGAATCAGAATCTCAACTATTTTCAGTGCTAGATTTGGCTTCAGGATTTTGGCAGATACCATTAGACGAACAAACAAAACACAAATCTGCCTTTGTAACTCATCATGGTGTATTTCAATTCAAACGATTACCTTTTGGCTTAATGAATGCACCAATGAGTTTTCAGGTGGTCATGTCTCAAGTGCTAAGAGGTCTTTTCTGGAAATTTGTACTAGTATATGTCGATGACATTCTCATTTACAGTAAAGATTTCAAAGAACACCTGAATCATTTGCAGCAAGTTTTTGACCGCTTGCGTGCAGCAAATCTGAAGTTAAAGCCATCCAAATGTCAGTTTGCACTTAAAAGAGTTGAATATTTAGGTCATTTTCTTTCCAAAGATGGTGTAGAAGTCAATCCTGCTACTACAGACAAGGTAAGAGATTTTCCCGTGCCACGCAAAGTACGTGATGTTAGAGCTTTTATTGGTTTGTGTAATTATTATAAGCGATTTGTCAAAGATTTTGCTAAAATTGCTAGGCCTTTGAATAAGCTTTTGCAGAAAGATCTGAAGTTTGAGTGGTCAATTGAGTGTCAGAAATCTTTTGACACCTTAAAGCAAGCTTTAGTAGCACCTCCTATTTTAGCATTCCCACAAATGGACAGAGAGTTTGTTCTGTCAACCGACGCATCTGGTACAGCTATCGGATGGGTCTTAGGTCAGTTAGATGATGAAGGGAGGGAACGTGTCATCGCTTATGGAGGAAGAGCACTTAGAGGTAATGAAGTTAAATTTGGCGTATCTGAGAAAGAGTGTTTGGCTTTAGTAGAAGCAGTACAGGCATATCACCCATATCTTGCCAATAAACACTTTAATGTTTATACAGACAATTTGGCTCTAAAATACCTTAAAACTATAAAAGACAAACAAGGAAGACTAGGTAGGTGGGCATTAAAAATCCAAGGCTACCACTTTACTATTCATCATAAGCCTGGCATAAAAAACCAAAATGCTGATGCTTTGTCGCGACGCACTTATGAGGATGCAGTTGAGTCAGGTGACTCCCCATCACCAGAAATGAATGAGGTAAGTACACTTCCTCAACAAACCAACACAGCTACTCAGGGTACTGATGTTGCTTCTGAAACTCATCAGACCCAACATACTGTGGACTCTGATATCCAAGGTAAGTGGGTTCAAGTACAATTTATAGATGCTGATAAGTTACAACCCAAACCTGTGCCCTCAGTGTTAGAGGTAAGCGCACCTGAGCCAGATGATGATTTAACTGTAGATCTTGACCAAGTGCAACCAAACAGTCCCCTTGACATCAACCAAGTTAGAACACTGGAACTTATTGCTGAACAGAGAAATGATGACAGTTTTAAGGCAATCGTAGATTTTAAGCTCTCAGGAACTGTGCCTGATGATAGAAACAAGGCAAAATCTATAGTAGCTCAGTCTCATTCCTTTGAGATTGATCACCAAGGTGTATTGTATCATATCTGGAACCAAAGGACTACCGGCAGAAAAGGTCCAGTCAGGTTTGTTAAACGGCTAGCGGTACCAAAAACCTATAGACAAAATATAGTTCAAGCTTTTCATGATAGTCATGCGGGAGGTGTACACATGGGTATCAATCGAACTCATGGTGCACTTAAACTCAGGTACTATTGGCCTTCTATGTTTGTAGATGTAGAGACTTATGTAAAGTCCTGTATAGTTTGTCAAACTTGTAAACGAGACTACAACAAAGGTAAGGTACCACTTTCACCATTACCAGTTGCTGGAAAATTTGAAAGATGGCACATGGACATCTTAGGTCCGTTGCCTGTCAGTAAAGAGAAGTATATCTATATTTTACTGGTAGTAGATAGTTTTTCGCAGTGGTGTGAAGCTCATCCCTTGCGTAGCCAAGAGTCATCAGAAATTGCCAAGGTTTTGTATAAAGAAATTTTTACGCGGTATGGTTGTCCTGCTACACTTGTCTCGGACCGAGGCAAAAACTTCATGGGTAAGTTGATATCAGCTTTGTGTGAGTTATTCAATGTAGGGCGATCACATACTAGTTCTTATCATCCGCAAACTAATTCAGTAGTTGAAAGAACAAACAGTACTTTGGCAGCTAATTTAAGAGCTTGTTGTGAAGGAGATCAGACAAGTTGGTCAGAAAAGCTACCAGGGATTATGATGGCCTATAGAATGACACCAGGTACAGAAGCGTCAGAGTTCTCTCCATTTTATATTGCCTTTGGTATGGAGATGAGAATGATGGTAGATACTGAACTTATACCTAAGGACTCCATTGGTAGAAACCAGAAACAGGTATTAAATGAGATAATAGAAAATACCAAGTTGGCTGAAAAGGTAGCGAAGGAAAATATAGAGCTTCGAAAAGCTAAACTGAAGCAAAGACATGATGAAAAGGCAAAAGTGCCAGACTTTCAGGTAGGTGATAGAGTTCTATTATCTGATCCACAAATAAAAAAAGGTGAGTCCTCAAAACTTCATAAAAAGTATAAAGGTCCTTACACTATAGTCAGATTAGGACCAAATTATACTTATAAACTCAGGAATAATGCAACAGGTAAGTTGGTAGATTCGCTCATTAATGCTACAAGGCTTAAGCACTTCCTGGATATAGATCATACACTTAGAGCTCAGGAGGGTGGGGCACAACAGCCACCAGCTCTACATCCACCACCACTTCCACCAGATCAACCCATAGATCCACCTGATCCGCCCATAGTTCCTCCCCAGTCCCAAGATAACCCAACTGACCACTCCGAAACAGATTCTCAACCGGATAGATCTCAAGAAGAATATCCAATAGAGAAAATTCTGGGTAGTAGAGTTAGGGCAGGGGTACAACAGTTTAGAGTTAAGTGGTTAGGGTATCCTGGAACAGAGTGGATTCCTAGTACAAATCTCAGACCAGAGGTTGTGGAGGAATACAATAAAACACATACCAAAACTGGACGTAGACGTAAACGGACTTACTTTAACCGATAAATAAAGGTTTTAGAGTTTTAGAGGGGTACAGGAGCATAACTTTCCTACATGTAGTGTTGAACTATTTAACTGTAGGTAAACAAGAAATACTCATAAATTAAAAAGGGAATATGACACTGAATTGCATAACCTGTAAGTTAAACAACTAGTATAAAACTAGTATATATTATTATTTGGTAAGTTGAACATACAAGATGTATTAGTTCAAGTATTATAGGTCAATTACTCTAAGAGTAATAAATAGGGACCTTATATGTAATGAGTACTCAAATTTAGATATTGTCTTATAACCTTGTAAAGGTGAAATTTAGATAACCCTTTTAATGAGCCTGTCATAAGTACACTGTTTAAGAAGACTCTTTTAAAGGTCTTTTAAATACAAGGGTTAAATGAAAGTTAACTGATTAATAATTATTTTAATATTTAAACAACTTGTAACTCAAGAAAGATTTCCTGAAGTATTGGCACATTTCATAAATTTATGATAATTTTCCACAAAAATCCCTATTTAAAAGCACAGTAGAACAATTTTAGAGATATTTTTGGTAATACCTACAATTTTGGCCACATTTTTTTTTCTTATTTCCTTGCTTGTCATTTCTAGGGATGATAGTTTGAATCCAAATTCATAATAGTGCTAGGGTGACTTGCAATAACCCATGATTTGTACTATCAACCATATTGATACAAGTGATACCGGTATATATATATAAAAAAAAAAAAAAAAAATGGAAATAAACACCAGTCTTAAGACTATTGCCATCTCTTTGTAGGTAAACAAGTAAAGATGTCTCCTTCATTGGTTCTGTGTGTCCTTTTTCTCGCCATGGCCTATGGGAATGTGGAAGGAACGCCATACGATAAAATCAAAGAACTTTTTAATTACGGTGCAACCTTTGAAGAAAAAGGCACCTTATATCCCTCAGGAAATCATTGGGTACACTACTTTGAAATTGAATTACAAACTTTTCCCTTTGTATCGGAGAAACCTACGCCCTGTTCCAACTGTCCATGGTACAGTGAAGCTATGGTTGAGATTTTGGCCTTACACCGACAGACAGCAGTAGATGTCGGGACAATTTTAGGCGAAATTAAGTCATTATTACCCCATCACTCATTAGCGAGACTACCAATGACTAGAAGGCGAAGATCATTTTTACCCTTCATAGGATCTCTTGCTAAAACTCTATTCGGAACCTCTACTTCTTCAGATTTGAACAGTTTATCAAGAAATGTGGCGTTAATTAGAGCTAACCAACAGAAAATGGCTAAAGCTACAGCTCATCAAATTGGTATTTTTGCAGCAGCTATTAGAAATTTTGATTCTAGAATTGACAACATTTTTCAAGGCATAACAGATAATCATGAGGCAATTGAAAAGTTAGGTGAGAACTTTAATAATTCCCTAATATCCAGTCAGGTAGCCCAGGGTAAGTTATTGTCAGCTATGACAAAGCAAACACGTTTAACCTTAAGAATATTGACTAGGTTTGAGGAGTTATTAATGGGGGTTTTGTCAACAATTCAAGGAAAGTTATCTCCCCTGCTTATACCACATCACACCTTAACTCATGTTTTATCACATATTCAAAGTTACATTCAACCTCATGGATTTTACTTGACACATTCTCATCCAGGATTTTATTATAAACATGCCAAGTTCACAATTTTTCGTAGATTTTCTAACATTTTAATTTCTGTTGAATTTCCAATTACCACTATGACACTGCAACTTTACAAACTTAATACTTTTCCAATACCAGTCAATAGTACAACAAGGCACGGTACTCAGTTAGATAGCCCAAATGATCATTTACTTTTATCTAAAGATGGCAAATTGTTTAGGGAGACAAATTCTAAAGATTTACAGACATGTTCTCGAAATGGCAATATTTGGCATTGTCAAAATCATATGATTTTAAGAAATGACACTAAAAGATCATGCTTATTGAGTCTCTTTAATGGACACAAGCAATATATAAATGCTAATTGTGTTTTTCATTTTGTCCCAAATGTCATTCGGCCTTCTATTGTCCAACTCAATCAGACCCATTTGGTTTTGATAAATGTGTCAGACATTACTTTACATTGTGAGAATAGGAAAATAGTGGAGAAAGGATGTTCTTTTTGCATTTTGGCTATTCCATGTAAGTGTTCTCTATCTAGTTCTTCACTGTACTTAGATCCTTATTGGAATAGATGTAACAAAAATGAAACAAGTAAAATATCAAAAGTTCATGGTGTAAACCTTATACTGTTACAACAATTTTTCAACAAATCTTTGAAAGCGTTGCAACCAAATTCAACCTTTTCAAAAATACTTGATGTACAACTACCACATTTCAGATTTTTTACACACAATTTTACAAACATAGTAGAATCTGAAAAACAGTCAAAACTAGACTTAAAGAAAGTAGCCTTAGCTGCAAAAGAGAATAAAATGATTTTTCAAAGGTTGTCAGAATCAATGTTGGATTACCAGTCCAACTTACCACAAACAATTGATTTACCATCTCTTTTGGCATATATATCTACAGCACTGGCACTAATCAGTCTTCTAGCTTTTGTGTTTTTGTTTATAAAATACAGAACTCTAGTTACAACAGTGACACTGCTTTCAAGGACTAGTGAAGTACATAGCTATGCACTGCCACCAGTTTTTCATTATACTACTGAGTCTTCAATCACTACAACTACATTTCCAGTAGACATTACACCACATCTCTACACAACATCAGAAGTACTGGGTATTTTATCATTGTTCCTTATTGGCATATTTATGCTTTACAAGTTAGTAAAGAAAGACAAGTTTAAACTAGTCATAGAACTTACAAACAATGACGACACAGTTTTAATACCGGTAGTAAGACTACCTTATGCACATGATGGTTTAACCTTTTTGACATCCGCTTCATTGTCTGATTTTAAAGTCAAGTATGGTATCAGATCATTTTTAGAGATTGATTGGGCAGATTTTGCTGTAGAAGATAGTAGTTTTGGTCAGAAGTTTACAATGCCTTCAAAGATATTGGTAAATCCTGTCATAGCTTACAGAACTGACAGAATAATTAGTAAACCATTCACAGCATTGTTATACAAACAGTTAGGAAGAGTTATGTACCCTGTTGTTATCACTCCAAAAGCTGAGTCTGTAAATTTCAATAGTAAAATCTATCCAGATCTGCATAAAAACTGATTTTACATTTTTCATCAGTGTATTCTGGTACTTTCTTCTCAACCTAAAAGCATCAAAATTAATGTAAATATGTTTTGTATATATATATATTTCTATTTCTGAGAAATAAATAGATATTACTAGATATAACTGGTATGCATATATCCATTAAAATTAGCGTAGTTTTCCTGACCACTATGAACTTATGGACTACACGTATAATGGGAATCAGGAGCTAAATGATGTGCATTTCATTCTCCAAGTGAAGGAAAAGAAAATCCAACATTGTGACTACGTGTATTCCCTGGATTTACAGTGTTTTTCAACGGACTAGTTGCTATCACTTATAGTGATCATATGTGTAGCAACATAACTGGATTACTTAATATCCCTTCTGCAATGGACGGAGTGATTCACAAAGAAAAAAAAAAAATCAGTGAAGATGATTTTCCAATATTTTACTGACTTTATACAATCTTGTGTTTTTGTTTTTGAATTTTTCCTTTGATATTGAGTATTGTGTATTTATGTTGTAATGATGATGCTGATGCATACACTGTAATATTGGACATGTGTATCACACGCTTGGATTAATGTTATAAAAAAAAAAAAAAAAAATGGTCATGTAACATTTTATTATATGGCTTTTATTTGTGTTGATTTATTTGAATATCCTGTGTATATAATCTTCATGCATTATGTAATATGTTTTTTCAAATATCTCTCATTTATCATAAATTTTTAACTTGTGTAGTAACTATAATAATGTATATGATAGTTTGAAGCATTTTTTTTTTCAAGTCTACTTATTTTGTAAGTCATTCATTCACTTCATACTCCCAATTTTTACATTTTTTTTCCTGCTCCAATAGAAACTGTATATAGTAGAATTCCGGAGGAATTTCTTTTTTGGTAGAGAGGAAAATCTGTCACGCCTTTTCAGTGTACATTTTGAAATTTCGTTAAATTTATTTAAACTTTACATTTGATAAAAGAATAAAGAAAATGGTAATCTAAACTTTATATTTATAATCTAACCTTTATAATTATGTAGTAGAAACAGTATTTAGCCAAGCCAAAATACTTGGAATTCTAAACATGTTGGGTTTCGTTATTAATCCTGTGTGGACAGATGTCTTCCATAATCCAGTTATTTACTTGTAAGTTTAGAGTCAATTAGTCACTTGTATTACAAGCTTTGATGCTAAGATGTTAGGTCTACATACAATTAACATGTCTAAGTAAAAACCTGTTTCTAAACAGGATTGGTAAAAAGTGTAACTCCTAATTAGTGTCAACCATTGTGTGTCAATGGACGTAAACAAACAGATGGTTTTTCGGCTTATGTATGATTTACGCAAAAGCAAATTGTAACAGGTATAGGACGCGTGACATGCGCAGTAGTTTTCGAAGTAAATCTCTTGTAAAACATCCTTTTGATTGGCTAGGTAATTAGGGACTAGTGATTTGATTGGTTAATTGACCACTCACCGTTTTGAGGTATATCTGGGGTTCCAACCTTGATTGTCGCACTTTTTATTCGACATTCAACAATAAACATCGGAAACTCAAAGAAGCCTCAATTCTCTATTACACAGGTGAGTCAAGTCTACTTAAATTTTCTTATGTTTTCTTAATAGCAAATATGTAAATAGATATTTGATTTTGTTTAGCCATGCTTAGATTTAAATAATGTTATTGCTATTTTTGTATTATTCAAGAAAACCATTTAAATTTATAATGGATTGGTGTAGGTACATGTACTTTGTCAGAATAGAAATTATTTTTATTCCAGTTGGCAAAGTATTATTTTGCTTTCTTCATAGTTTAATGTAAATAGCTTTCATATGTAAATAATTACTGATTTTTAATAGATGATAAAAGAACATTTTATTTTTGTATAAATTTGATGATAAATTGAGTCAATCCGGATATTTTGGTCATTCCGGAATTGATTCTAATTTTATAGCTTCATGTTTAACTTCCGGATAGGTGCTCGCGGTTTTATCGAAATAACATAATCGTTAATTTTGGATAGGATTAGAGATTTGGAGCACGGAAGCAGTTCTTATAAGGGAGTATACGATTCATAATGTTTTGTGGATGATTGTTATATGTATTTTAATAGTAGGTACCCGATAACTGGCCTCCGGCCGGTGATCGGAATGTCTAGTCAAGATATGTAACTTGTAAGCGCTCGCGCAACATTTTGTCATTTAAATCCATAACTTATTTGGTAAACATCTAGGCGTTAAGCACATTGTATGTACATTCGATACATGTTTAGTTTAGGTATAATTCATTTGTATTGATGTAAAGGTCGCACTTTTTATTCGACATTCAACAATAAACATCGGAAACTCAAAGAAGCCTCAATTCTCTATTACACAGAGCTAATTCCTCAGAACAGGAGAAAAGTAACGCATTAATCCTGTAACAGTACTATCCCCTCTCTTTGGAAATCTGCTAATGTTAGTGCTATCTACAAAGGAAAAGGTACTGAAAATAATGTTTCTAACTATAGACCTATCTCTGTAACCTCATGTTTCAGTAAACTTATAGAAAAAAATATTTTTAAGTATCTGTTTAATCATCTTTATGAATCAGAAATTATATCAAAACACCAATCTGGTTTTATGCCTAATGACTCAACTGTTAATCAACTGCTTTCCATATATCACACAATAATAAGTAACTTAGATAATAACAAAGAATTTAGATTTATTTTTTGTGATATAAGTAAGGCATTTGATAGGGTCTGGCACATAAACTTGAATCATATGGAATAAAAGGAAATGTCCTGAACTGGTTTAAAAATTATCTTTCTAATAGAAAACAAAGGGTGGTAATTGATGGTTTTGCTTCTACTTTTAAATATGTCCATGCAGGGGTTCCTCAGGGATCAGTCCTAGGGCCTTTTCTTTTTCTTCTATACATAAATGATATAACTAATTGTGTAACAAGCTGTATAAAATTATTTGCTGATGATACATCACTTTTTAGAATAATTGACCCATCGCCGACTCCGCCCCTTTTGAAAATATTAACCAATGAAAAAAACAATTCCATTTAGCCCGAGACTACGGCATCACAGTCCGCCATTACGTCCGACAAGCAACCGGTAGCGAAGGAAAACCCGCTTGCGTATTTTCAGTGATTTGAAGTTATCATGGTTAAGAGATGTGCATATGGTGTATGTAATTCCGATGATAGATACCCAGAGCGAGTGAAATATGTCATTTTCGTGCCGTTCCCCAGGCCAAAAACCATAATTGATCGATGTCTGAGGTGGATCAAAGTTTGCAACAGACCCCACGATCAGCTGAATGTTGACAAAATCAACAAACATACATACGTTTGTTCAAAGGTATGGTTTTGCTTTCCTTAACTTAATACTTTCTTTGATTATAATACGATATATAATTTCTTATGTAAGATGTTGTTGTCCGATGTTCATATTTATTCTGAGGGTATATGTTTTCCTTGAATTATTGCCGATGCAAGGTGTAAGATAGTACAGTAGTTAGGATAACAGACCTTAATCAGCTGTAAACACTATGGTAGTGCCCATTATGTAGGCATCAAATACAATTATTGTTAATGATATCAACAGCACTTCTTTGGAGGAAACGGCCCTACCACTTCATTTCCAGACCCATTACAAGAAACACAAAAAGTTCAGACCCCTGGCCCTGTGCGTCAACCACCCAAGAGAAGAAAATTTATTCTACCTTCTCCAACAAGGTAACATTATATTCTCTATTAACCTTGAATTAACCTTCACTGTGAAGTTTGAGTTTAAATGTACAAACAAAAAACTGGTTTGTTTTTTATATCAAAGTTTTTGCTTTAATGAACATACACAAAAAAGTCATTTTTTCATGTCACAGTATTTATACAATATTTTATAAAATTATCACAAATGAAATTCAATCATATATTTATCACAAATGAAATTCAATCATATATTTATCACAACTGAAATTATATCATCACATCAAAAATATGTATTTATAATACATATATAATTTTCACGCAGCATTTAAAATTTCATTGCTGATGCATAAAATATATTTAAATACTATATGAGACAAAAAAGCCCTGAGAAACGGTCTTGTTATTTGTTCAACTTTTCATATATATATAATTGTAGACAAGAATGTGACAGTTTGGTGGAGCTTGAACGAACAACAATAGAAGTGTCTACAGATCTGGAAGAAAATGATACAAAAACCACATCTAGTCAAACAGAAGGACAATGTAAGTAGACTCAACCATTTTTCAGCATTTTTGGAGATAATCTCCGACATGTTTGAAATAGATATAACATAGTTTATCTAGCAAATCTTTCATGAACACATGATCCGGAAGAATACTTTCAAGGTACAAGTCTTTTGAAGTAAAAACAACAGTCACAAAATGGAGCACCTGTAATCATTAACTGGCCTTGAACCTGACAGTAGTGTGTGTGTTTCCTCTTAAGTCTGATACCATTTTCTACACTTTCTAAGAAAAAGTCTGGTAGGGTTTCTATAGCCTCTTTCACAGCCATGTTCCTAGCACTATATGGGCATTTTATTTCTAAAATGCCTGTTGCACCGTGGTCACAAACACGTCCATCTGGGGTGGCTCCTAGGAATGGAAATGCTGGGTTGATAACAAGTCCACAATCATGTACATGACTTCCAGTCTTGTTAATGTACTTTTGCTTTGCTGAAGATTCCTTCTTAATTCCATACTGTGTTGCACTCACATTCAATGATTTACTTGAAAAAAGTTTGTACAAATATTTATTGTTGATGATTTTCCTTCTTAAAATCTCATGAAATTTCGATGCTGTAAGCCTTTTTCTTCTCTGTTGAAGCCAGAGCTCACAGTTACTTTGTTGGCGAGTGTTAACTTCGATTTCTGTTGCTTTAGCTTGAGATATCATGATGTCTTCAGGAATGGGTGTGTAATTGTCTGGCAGGGTTATGGGTGGATTTTTGGGCAAAACTAATTCTCCACAATCTACACTGACTTCTTTATTTTCCGTCCTGTTTTCGTAGAACATTGCCTGAAATATTATTTTAAAAATGTATGTCACTATAATAGTACATAATTTGTAGATTATATAGGACAATGAATTTAAAATCTATGAAAAAGACATGGATGGACTTATTACCAGGTATGGGCTTATTGCATGATAAATACGGTAGTTTAAATCATGGAAAATGCATTTTTACATGTGCATAAATGTACATGTGACATCACCAACTGACAAGACTGTGAAAGATTATATTTTACATTAATTTTGTTAATTTTCTGATTTCAGGGGTAGATCCCGTGGAGGTTTCAGAACTAGTGGCAGAAAATCGCCAGCATAGACAGGATCTTGCTTCATCAGCCATAACAGCAGAAAATCAGCAAAGAAATTTTTCTAGCAGTGGAGTACAGACAGACAAACAAAGAAATCAATTTGATTTTGAGGAACTCCGGAAGAGTGAAAAACAATTCAGATATTATACTGGATTCTCAACAAAACAATTTGATGCAGTATACAAGTTTTTAGTACCAGATGGAGACTATCCAATAAACTTGCCTTCTAACAGACAGAAAGAAATAATGTGCATAACATTGGAAAATCAGCTACTGTTAGTGATCATCAAACTGAGACATGACTTTGACTATGTGGACCTTGGCTACAGATTTGGTGCTAGCAAGCAAACTGTGAGCATTCTATTTACACACTGGATCAACTACATGTTTTTAAGGTGTGGTGAAGTTTCCATTTGGCCACCAAGAGACACGATTTTTCAACACATGCCACAAAACTACCAACAGGACTTCCCAACTACTTTTGCCATTTTCGATTGTACAGAAATGAAAATTTGCAAACCCTCATCTTTGTCTGCACAATCACAAACATTTTCAGACTATAAATCAACAAATACATTAAAGAGTCTTGTAGCATGTGACCCAAGGGGATCTATCATATATGCATCAATGTTGTTTGCTGGATCCATGTCAGACAAGGAGATATTTAAACAATCTGGGTGCAAGGATATGTTGAAAGAACTTGTAAAGGAGGGATATTTGAAGGAGGGAGATGGTGTAATGGCCGACAAAGGATTCAACATCCATTCTGAAGTGGAAGAGTGTGGCTTGAAACTAAACATTCCGCCTTTTGCACGAAGTGGAGTGCAAATGACAAAGCATGATGCTTTACATACAAAGAAAATAGCAGCACATCGTGTACATGTTGAAAGAGCAATTGCTCGCATCAAACGTTTCCAAATTGTGGCCAGGCGTGTGCCACTTAGTTTATACACCAGCATCAATCAAATCTGGTATGTCTGTGCATTCCTGTCAAATTTCTTTAATCCCTGTATTCAGGACAAATAAATTTAACAACATTACCTGTGTGCTAAGTCCACTACCAATTGGAACTGCTCCAAACATTGTGTTGACTGTTTGTTTGGGTCGGGTAACAAGGTAGCTGATAGGCAAGTCTGTCCATGCTTTCAAATTGTCTATGTCTTCTCTAGTTACTGTTTTAATTCTGCAAATAAATGACCAGAATAACTGATGATGTGTATAATGAGGAATTGATGATGATTATGTTATAATGTATATGTCTTTGTATAAATGTATGGAAAATAAAAGAGATGCAAAAGAATTAACTATTTTATTATACCTGGTATATATGATATTGATTTCATGTTTAAGATGTATGTAAAATTATGATTTTCTACCAAATATTTATTTCAGCTGCATGACTTTGTGTATTATACTTATTTACATAAAATGAAGATAACCATGATGGAATTACATACCTGCAGTCTATGACTTTGTTTTGTAGTGGTTTCTGCTTTCTGTCTGATTTGGGTTGTATCACAGTAATGTGGGGAACAGACCTCGGTGTGATTTTTGGACCTCTGGGGATACTCCACTGCTGAGGAAGACTTGTGCTTGACAACTCACTAGGAATATCAGATAATCCCATCAGTTGCCAATTTTGAAGTGCCTGGATTAGTCCAACGATATGGGAACAGCAACCACTAGCTCTGAAATTTATCAATTTAGTCCAAATTTGAAATACACATGCAAATTGGTTATAACATATTATTGCTTACAAGTACAAAAAGTAGGCACTAAAACTAAATATTAGGGGGACAAACACACAGGTCAATCCTGTCTATAAAAATGACAGAGCAACAATGCCTTTTATAGTTAAGTGTACCTTATACAGAGGTCAATTTATATAGTAAGTTGAACTGAATGGATTTGTGGAGTCTTTCTAGACAAATATCCTTTTCATACAGTTATTCTTAATACCAATGGTGATTTTATGTCTACGCACTTTCATAAATGAGTGAATAAAATGCTAAAAACCACAACTGTAAATGCTGTAGGCTTATAAACATGAAAGTTTTTATTTTGATTCAGTTCATTTTTTTAAGAGTTCCATTTAAGGAAAAGTGTCATTGATCAATGTCTAGCAAATTATAAAAACTTTTTGAACATTGTGATGGGAACCTGGAAGAGAGAGAGAGAGAGAGAGAGAGAGAGAGAGAGAGAGAGAGAGAGAGAGAGAGAGAGAGAGGGGGGGGGTAGTAAATCATTGTTTGTTGAAATATAAAGTCAAAATATGACGTGCGACTATACTTTTGGCCAGTGACTGTAAATAACAATCCTGTGTAGACCATTCACACCTGATCGACTTTAGTCTAGTATACACTGTTATATAACTTGACACTGACAGAAGTACGCACTTCAAAAGAAACAAATGCGCGTACCCTCGCGACTAGCCTACAGGTGGTCGACGAGGATAATTTACCTGTGTTTTAGACGCTACGAAAAGGTGGCAAATTAATACGAATACTCAGTTGTAGGTAGATATGTGGAGATCACTTACAGTACATTAGACCTACAATATATTAATATAAATGTAATCACACATCGCCGATATCGGGCCTTGGTCAACACAAATAATTGTAAAATCAATCTATTATCGTGCATAAATATTTTGAAATAAATATTAATACAATACCCTGCAACACATGTACAATCCGACAATGTTATCCTCCCAGGTATAATATCCAAATGCAGTAGGTGCGGCTGGTCATTTTTCTTCTGACTCCTGAAGCATCTCGCGGAGACTTGAAGTTCGTCAAGATTTCTGTTTTTCGCGATGCTTACTCTCTCTAAATATCCCTCTGCGAAATATTTGTATCCCTGCTGTTTGGACTTTAAGCTTATCGTTACTTCCTTTAGGTAATTTAGCGAAAAATCATGCGGTAAATCCTGCAAGGTTGCTACGTGCGTCTTCTCAGCATCCGCCATCTTGTCTCAGTGACTGGATTGCTTGACGGACGTAGCAACAGTAGTCATGGCCATAGAAAGTGGGTGGAGCTACGGAGTGATTGGCGATGGGTCAATTAATACTAACCCCATAGAAGAAGCTGAAGTACTGAGTAATGATCTTAATCATATCAATAACTGGTCTAAACAATGGGATATAAACTTTAATCCAGCTAAAACAGAATCCGTAATATTTTCTAGAAAATCAGAACCAGATCATCCAGACATTTTTTTTAACAATGAGCTTGTCTTAACATCAACTTCTCATAAACATCTTGGTCTCTTCTTTAGTAGTGATGGCAAGTGGAATAAACATATTGATTACATATACAAGAAGGCAAACCAAAAAATGAATATTTTAAGACTCTTAAAAAATAAAATTGACAGAAAATCTCTTTCCATACTTTATATATCCCATATTAGACCAATTCTTGAATATGCTGATACCGTGTGGCACAACTGTCCAGAATATGCCAAGAACCTATTAGAATAAATTAATCTTGAGGCAGCAAGGATTATAACTGGGTTGGGTTTCTTTAGGTGACAGAAGGAAAAAACATAAAATGACTTTAATGTACAAGATTTTAAACAAAGAATCACCAGATTATTTATATGATATCATACAACCATATTTAAACAATCCTAATGAATCAAGATACCAACTTAGAAATAATAGAATTTTTTATGAACCATATTGTCGCACTGTTAGTTATTGCAATAGTTTTTTCCCAGATATGATATGTGAATTCAATAAAATCGGTGACTCCTTCATTGACATTCACTCCATTGGCCAGTTTAAGAAATTACTTGATAGAAATCTATATGTAAATAATAATGCTAATGTTAGTGTTGTTTTTAAAGAATATGGACAAAGAAAATACAATATTATCCTCTGTCAGCTAAGGAACTCAGCTAGCTCTCTCAA